GTATATATACACTGCAGGTTAATATTACGCTTGGTCATGGTGTCAAAAATGGGCCGTGGGCCAAGAGGGTTTATTTTTTTGTCTTAAAATGTAGAATTAAATTTATAATCGATTTTTGATAGTTACCATCTCCATAACTTACTCTTTTTTTAAATAGACAAAAATATTTGAAAAATTCTATTCATTAATAATTCATTATGCAAATTAGAAAAAAAATAAACTAATCATGTTACGGGAAACCTGGTGGTTGTGTGTTCAATTCCCACACGAACCATTTTAGTTGATGGTGGATAACGAATAGCAAGCTTGGAGGTTGTATGTTCGATTCTCACACAAACCATTTTTTTTTTTTTTTTAAAGGCAGTTTTAGTTGATGGTGGTGGATAATGAATGGCAAAACCTGGTGTTTGTGTGTTCGGTGGTAACCAACCTCTATTTCAAACGTTTACCGACGTCGGGCCAACAAAGTACTATGACGTTGCGACGTCTTTAATTACATCTAATATTTACAACCTCTAACCAACGTCGGCCCAACGGTTGTAACCAACCTTCACTAACGTTTACCGACGTCGGGCCAACAAAGTACTCTGATGTTGCGACAGCGTCTGTTATCACATCCATTATTTACAACCTCTAACCAACGTTTTTTAAAGGTCCTGTATTTTAAAATTGAAACAATTCTTTTTATCAAGAATCTTCAAAAAGAAAAGGGGTGATAGCAGTTGATTTTGTATTCTCTCATTGTACAGTCTAGTTGGTGATTTCTTTTACTGTTAAAAAAAAAAAAAATTAATTGCGATGACGTACGAATTGCAGAAATTCCATCTGTGTCACTTCCTGTTTAGGTTCTTTACGGAAACGCCCACTTCTTATAATTTGGACGAAAACATTCTGTAAAGCCTGGCAATTTCTTAACTTCTCGAGAAAGTAGTCGAGATCGACATCGACGATAGGCCTAAAAATGGCTTCCACCGGTGTATTACCGTTTGTGAGAGGTATAGATTTAAGTCAAAATAACTTTAAGGTAAGTGTTTATAAACCATTAATTGATTGGTTATTTTGTTATCTAAAATTCTTCATAATAATAATAATTATAAAATAGTCCGCATTATGTTAGGACGTCGCCCTAGCCCTAGTTAAGCTAACTAGGGTATACCGCCTAGCCTAGGTAGGCCGAGGCCTAGCCTTTAGGGGCATAACATATTAGCCTAGGCCTAGGGCCTATGCCTAGCCTCAATCAGTCTAGGGGCCGATAGTTAGCCTACTACTTAGGGGCCTACTCAGGCCTAGGAGGAGCTAGCAGTGAGAGGGTGTGGGGGATAGGTAGATACCTGGCCAAACCCTACCGTAGTGCCTTTTATTTATGGACTACGCGGCTACTACTCGGAGTAGGGGACCTACTGGTAGTCTTAGGCCTGTTAAAGTCGGGCACTCACTGCGTCGTACGATAAATCCAAGTCCGCCCCCTGTGAGCACTAGAAGCTGTCTGCTAATTGGCGGTGGCAGTCTGAATGGATCCTCATTAAAATCGATCCATTTGCGCGCGTTGTCGCGTTCGTTCTTTGTAGAATTGTGTCAGCCGATGGTTGTCGGCTGCAGTGAGTGTCTGGCTATATTTAAAAAATGTTCCAATTTCAGCCTACACCAAAATAATCGGGAGACCGGAGAATGTGCAGGTGAAGGGCGTCCCCATTTCCACCATTTAGTGAAAAGTGCCCACAAAGTCAAAATATCCTGATACTGCATTAACGTCTTTCAAGGTACATAAACATAATAGTCCATTGGGTTTTTCATTCATGTGGCCTAGGAATTTCATCTATTTTACCGTGTAAATCCCATGTTTTTTTACGTGCCATACGTTGAATTAGGTGGTTGTACCGTTAATGCAACAAATCTAGGCCTAGTTTTTGAAATTTGGTAGACCGGGAGATAGTAAATTCAGGAGACTCCAGATCGTGGGTTGGGACCTCTGCCTAAAAATGCATCGTGCATGCACAGTCTACAGACACGGTGCGTCACTCTGCTCAGTCCTACTTTCTTAACATAGGGTGCTTTCAATTGCACGAAAGTAGAACGTAATGACGTCACTTAAAGTCATCTCGGCATGCGAAAATGTTAAGGTCACCTCGTCGAGTAGATTCTGGAATGCAAATCTATGTATGCAGAGACCGTAGGACTCCAGGTAGGATGGTTACGCTTGAGTGATTCCATTCTAGTGTTGCATCGTCGCACAAATCGAAAGCTCCCTATTGCAGTGAACACCATCGGAAACCGGTCACTCGACTGCGTGAGAATGCATGTTTTACTGTAATCCTGTACTCTACTAAAGATTCCAACTGTCTGCCTTTTTGGCAGGATTGTATTGCTTTTGTAGTTTGCGTCCTTCGGTCCTGCCCATCCCTGAAATTGTCCCGCTTTTTCACTAATATTTGAATTGTAAAAATTATACTGAAATGACCAAATAAAAGTATAAAACAAGATAAAATTCACCTAACACACATGTACCCCATCTCTACTGTGATACAACAACATCCTAGTTTATTACTGTACTACAAACCTATGTAATTAAGAGACAACTCAAGCATATCGAGTGCGAGGTGCGTTATGACTGTTAAGCCAGGCACCCACGGCCATACAACGAATCCAACCCCCCTTCCTGCAAGCGTGCTGAACTTCTAAATTCTATCACCATTTTTAAAATTACAATTCAGTAATTCTACTTCTATGTTGATACTGGAGCAATTGAGGTATACTTTGAATATTTTCTATCACCCCAGATGGTTTCAAAACAAACTTTGTTCCACCTCTAGTAATAGCCCCCTGCTTTAATTCCATCGTGGTAATTTTAAAAAAAAGTAAAAGAAATGTGGCAGCAACAACACCAATTTCAATTTTGCAGTTTCTCTTTAATTGTCCAGGAGGATGAGTTTCCTAAGCATGTTGCGGATATGTCTGGCCTCAGGTGGCTCCGAATAAACAAGACCAACTTGGACATGTTGCCTGATGAGCTCTCACACCTCTCCAAGCTTGTAAGTACCAATGATTGCATACCTATTCAAGCTTAAGCTAAAGCAGGCACTCTATAGAGTGCATAACCTCCTCCCTGGCTTTATTGGTATTCAACAAAGTGGTCAGAGCTCAACAATGTGGCGTGAGAGCTTTTGCTGTCGCAGCTCCAACATTATGTCCATACCAATCTCCATGAGACAGTATTTTACATTAAAGTATTTAAGACAAAATATATATAGAAATCAATTGCTTGTAGTTTGTACTCATTTGGCTATTTCTTTGTGATATTTATTGTACTACACTCAACATAACAGAAAATATTATATTACAACATTTAACACACAAATTTATAGAAGTACATCATTAGTTGTTATTTTCATACAATTTATTTTCCGAAAATAATATGTTGATTTGATATCAATATATTTTACTAGTTGAGCAACTCATTTTGCTAGTTACATTTTTCACAACTAGCAAACTTTAGCAATAGGTTGCTAGTGGCTAAAAAAGTAAATTTCTAGCCCTGTTGGTATTCAACAATGTTTTGATGTGTTTCTTGTGTTAATCATTCAGGAACACTTGCACATGGCAAGGAACAACCTAATACAGATACATGGAGACTTACCAACTTTGAATAATCTGCGTACACTGAACCTGCGACACAATAAAATACGCAACTCGGGAATTCCCAATGATGTATTCGTTCTGGATGAAATTAGTGTTGTGGTAAGATTATTAACCAACTTTACTTATATATTTTTTCCTTATTTTCATTATCATTTATGTAAGTGTTTAAATGGATTACTATTTTATTAACAAAACAATTATTTTTTTAGGATTTCAGTTACAATCAGTTATCAGGAGTACCAGAGGAATGTGAGAAGGCCAAGTCTTTATTGGTGCTTAACTTAAGTCACAACAAGTAAGTAACCCTTATCTTGAAAGTCTGTCTCTGGAATAGATGTAAACACAAAAATTTGACTTTGTTTAGAATAAGAGGAAGAGACTAAAATATATTGTTTTCCTTTTCAATACATCATTATAATGTTAGAGAATCATGCAAAATCTGGAAAATTGCTATGAACAAGATAATAGGAAACAAATATTAAAAATTTATATTTTACAAGTTTTTATGCTGTACAAAACCATGGAAACCCATGACAACCCATGGAAACCCTTGGCCGGCTGACTTTATGTTGACAATAATAAAATAGTAAAAGCATGCAAATCTCATGAACTTAAGAAAGAGATGTAAAATTCTGGGAATTTTGTTGTTGTCCGGGATACTCCTGCGACTTGTGGGGGACTTGGTACCCCTGCAACTACTACGTAGACAATTTAGGTTGGAAAATTTTATTCATGATTATATGATTATGTTTGTTTTCGTTTCAGTATTCCATCGATACCAAATCAATTATTTATCAACCTGACCGATCTGATCTACCTAAATTTAAGTGACAACAAACTAGGTGAGGATTCTGTTAAAATTGTTTGTCAATTTTTTCCCCCAGCTTCTATGTTAATCTAAAAATAGGCTCCGGATATGAGCATGAGTAGGCTGCAGAAACTAGGTCATACCTTGAAGCAAGAGCGCTCTACATGTGCTACAATCAAAGTCAGGAACTAAGAATTTAAAAAAATAACTGACTCGATTAAAAAATAAATTCTTTTGCAGATGGTAGAACAGTTTTTTTTTCACTTAATAGCTTTCCATTTTTATATATTTTAAATGTAATTCTATGGAATATTAAAAAATAGTACTGTACAATTGTACTAACTGTTAATTTTGTTGTCATTCCTTTCAGAATCACTTCCTCCTCAAATGCGACGCTTGGCCAATTTACAGACTCTCATACTGAACAACAATCCAATCCTTCATGCACAGTTGAGGTATGCCTAAAGCTATTATGAACTCTTGACAAATCTTTGTTATTATTATTGCTGCTGTTATTGTTATTATTGTTATTATTATTATTAATATTATTTCTAATACTCTGATTGATTTCACAGTCTTATTTTTACAAATATAAAATTTATCAAAAAAAAAGGTCAACATAACACAGAGAATGGCACTAAACTCAGATGGTAATCTCTAAAATAACCATGTTTATGAGATGCCGTACTTATTATTTGATGATTTTTTTTTTAGACAAATCACTAACATGTCGCAGTTGCACACGTTGCACATACGCAATACGCAGCGCAACTACTCCAACATACCGCCGCAACTTGACATGCTGACCAACCTTGCTGACGTGGACGTATCTCACAATGAACTTGCCAAGGTACCGGAGGCTTTCTATCGTCTTCCTTCATTGAAACGGTTGAACCTCAGCAGCAATTGTATCAAAGAACTGTCTAGTAGTGCCGGTAAGCATCAAGTGTGTATACTGATCAACGTAGTAGCTATTTATATCCATTTATAATTAAGAAGTACCTTTATTTTTTGAAATTGTTATCTAATTTTGTATTTTAAAATCATGTTCTAGTGGTGTTAATGTAGAAATTAGGAATAATTTTGGATATGTTCACCTGTCCATACATGTTTTCTTCCAATATGAAAAATATTATCGGCATTTTATCCTTAGGAGTGATGTTTTCCCCTACCTAATATGTTATCGTACTGAATACTCAGTATGTTCCCAAATACTTGCGAAGAGACTTTTGCATGTGATTCAGGAGCCCACGACCTACAGATAACTAGCCTGGTGTCTGGTGTGTTTGCGTCCAAAAAACATCATCTTATCTTTTAAATATTTGTATTTGTTCGCAGATTACTGGGTTAACTTGGAGATGTTGAATCTGTCACGCAACAAGCTTTCAAGCCTGCCAGTCGCCATTTGTAAGCTGACAAAGCTTAAGAAATTGTATGTCAACTCAAATGAGCTGGACTTTGAAGGTATTCCCTCCAGCATTGGCAAGATGTCAGGTCTGGAGCAGTTCCTCGCAGCGAGCAACAAATTAGAACTCATACCAGAAGGTTTGTGCAGGTAAGTTTTTAGTCAGTGGAGGAGGGTAGTCCCATACTAGAAGGCTTGTGAGGTAAGGTTATAGTCAGCAGTGGTTGACCTAGAAATTTGAAATAGAGGAGCCCAGGGAGAGACTTTCACAGGTAGAGGATCTAGACCACCTCAGCCTCACCAAAAAATTATGGCACCCCTAGGCAGCTGGAAAAGACATCCTCAAACTTTCATATAATTTCTTTTTTAATTTTGATAAGTTTGGGCAGGAGGGTGGGGGTGGTTATGTTGTTATATTATGATGACTGACTTGTGTCTTGTATTTCTTGATGTGCAGGTGTCCCAAGATCAAACGCTTAGTTTTGAACAGTAATTGTCTTGTCACTTTACCTGAAGCCATTCATCTTATAACAGATTTAGAGGTAAGGTGTTACAAGGTGTTTAACATCTTAAAAAACTAACCACCAGTTTTGAATGTAAAGCAAAATGCCATATTTATCATCATATAAATTTTGTTTACAATCATTCCGATTACCTCTGCTATTATGCTATTTTCATTTTTTTTTTTCATGTTTGATGTTTAGGGCTGCTTGTTTCTCCTTGAATTTGCCCTTCTGTATTTGAGTAAATAAATAGAATATGTCTTTAAATCATCTTACATTCAATTGTACTTGTCCCCTCCTGTAAGGTGTTAGATGTTCGCAACAACCCTAATTTAGTGATGCCACCTAAACCAAGGCAACAGCAGAAAGGAGCTGGACAGGAATTCTACAATATTGACTTCTCTCTCAACCACCAGTTACGTCTGGCAGGAGCAGTTCCTGCTGCCAGCTCAACTGCAACGCCAAGTAGGTTTCACACCTGATATCTTCAGCATTGCTAAAGTAATTGTAAACTTATGGCCAAATAAAAATAAGTGTTATTTTCACGTCCTGGATTTGAAATTGTTTTTTTGCTGTATACTAGTGTCAAATAAGCTGGTAAATAATACAAATAGTTTTTAAAGAAGTAAAGATATTATTTGTAATGTATTCCTGACATTTATATTTCTACCTCTGCCTGTTGATTATTGGAATTTGATTTTATTCGGTGTGAATACCAAGGATTACCCACAATAGTCCGAAGACTTACTTTCAGTCCCCTATTGTTTTTCCAAAGACTTTACTGCTTTTTTTAAATTGCACCAATTTCTTAAATGTCTCTTCTGAAAGATGGTGTGCTTTTTTTGAAAAAAATGAGCAGTGTCACATGAAGTTGAACTAAGTACCAAAGTTTAAACAGTGGATCTACATGGCTCAGCGCACACAGTGACTACCACCACTCTAGTGGATATACTGTATAGCATTGACCGGTTTATCATTTATCATTAAAAAACGGACGCCAAATACTGTTAAGCATCTGTTCTAAACCGTGCATATTTTATTTTTAGCAAAAGATCCAATTGCTCGTAAAATGCGTCTACGGCGAAGGAGGCAGGAGAGCGACAATGTGGCCGATAAGGATCAAACTAAAGTTTTAAAGGTAACTCAAGTCAAGTCACCTTCACCCTCGAATACCTCTAAAAAGCTTGTATGCAATAAATTAATACAATATTTCTCCAGCTTTAATAATAAAAAAGTATAAATACCACTACACCATCAGTTTTGGTAAGAAGAAATTCTGTTGCAGATTATTTGTGGTCTGTATTTCAAAAAAACAATTAATAAACAAATGAAGCATATGTTATTAACTAATTTAAAATTGCTTATTTGGGTGGAAGGAAATACTGCATTTAAAGTAAAACCCACCAATCAGCAGTTGTATGTAATTGTTTATTTATAGTAATAGATGTTTAGTGATGTGGAACAGGACAGTGACAGTCCAGTTCATGTCCATATTATTTCATTGGCTGCCTGTGGATGGTGTGGAACAATATATTGTATTAGAAATGACTAGTTGTATCCTGACACAGATAATATAGTGTTTTAGGTTTCATGTGACATTATTACTCTTTCCTGTTTAGCTTTTTATTTGTGTAGTGCAAAAATGGTAAGTGTATTTATAAGTTCTACATATGTAAGTGTATTTAAAAGTTTTATATATTTGTAAGTACATACTTATAAGTTTTATGTATTTATAAGTCTATTATAAGTTTTACATATTTTGTATTCATATTATTGTCAACAATATATGAGGTGAATTAGGTGCAGTGTACTGGAGACAACTCCTAAGAGTATATTGTGTTCTGCAACATTATCTTCATCCACTTACATATATGTTATATTTACATTTCTGCCAATAGAAATGGTTATTTTGTAACTGATAGATGTATGTAAGGGGTGAAGCTTTTGTACACTAGCAGCGGTCCTAAAGGTGGAAGAAGCCACTTCTGTGAGACTGCTTAAATAAGCTTTCATAGTAATATATCTATTCTAATTTTATATTTTGCTCTGCATGCAAATAATAATAATATAATAATATAGTAGGAAAAACAGTCATATATGAATTTTTGGGAGAGGAGTTAGTTTCCAGGAGATTTTTAAGTGCTTGTGGGAGTCTGTTAGAATTTCTGGGAGACTTCCACGATTTGTGGGAGACTGTGGATCCCTGCACTACTATCATGTGTTGCAAGTGTTGACAAAATCTAGAAGATAGCCATAAATTAATAACACTGTCTTTACTTTTTTAGGGTATGAGTGATCTGGCGGAAAAGAAAAATAGGGGATTGACAAGAATGGAATCCTCAGAAGAAAAAGAAGTAGGGTAAGTTATTGATTAATTTCTCATTATTTACTTTAAAACAGATTCTTTAAATAATGTAATATAAAAATATTATTTTTACAAAATATATGGTCATTACGACATCTAAAGTATTTAAGATAATTTAATACTTTAGATTGTAATCTTGTTTTATGCAAGTTTGTGCTACCTTTATTAGTTAGCACTTTTTTTTATTGAGAAAAGAAATGTAAAATAATAAATGTTATAGTTCTTAATTTATGTATTATATTTATGCTAATTATTGTCATTTTTACCATATTGATATTCAAATGTTGAATTAATTTGTTCATTTTAGTTTTACTAAATACTGCCCCGGACCATATGAGGGAACTCCAGAATGAATTGAAATTTCCACATAAAATTTTACAAAATAATAATGGCTGAGAGAATATATTAGAATTATTGTTCCATAAAATGTACTAACAGAAGAAGTTATCAAAAACTTGCTATAATTAGGAATTCTGTGTATCAGGTTTTCTTTGAAATGCAATTATATCTCGAAAAGTAGGCCTACTAACACAACTTAAAGGGCATTCATAAAAAGAGAATGTTATTACATGTTCTGTGTGTAAATCAAATTTTGAATTCTGTATTCAATTTAAAATAGGACACCCCTAACACTCTGTTTGTAATTTGCAGACACAAAAGTTGGTTAGATGCTTTGGAGAAGCCCCAGCTGGACTACAGCGACATCTTTACCTCAGATGTTGGTCAGATTCCAGGCCTAGAGGTTTGGCAGATTGAAAACTTTGTTCCAATAGAAGTTGAAGAAGGTGAGTCAAAAAGCTTGAAACACTTAGTTAAAGAGGTAAATTCATAACTTTATGGCAGTACAAAAATGTCTCTCATTTTATATCTACTAAAGATGAAACCCCTAAATAATATAGGAGCTCTGTTGTTTATTTTTAATAAATGTCCAGGCTGTAATAGTGATTATATTGGTAAGACAGATAAATGCTTAATAACTAGACTTAAAGAACATTTTTCACGATCTGATACTATTATAAATGACCATATACAAAATTGTGAGGATTTCCAATATGTTTTAGGTTTACAAGGTATACTTGAAAATGATAATGTAGCCTGTAATGTAAGTAATAAATTAGGTTTAATATTTTCTAATACTTACATTATTGACAGTTCGCAAAATTGGTGTATGCTACTGTTTAAAGATGCGTTTGCTATACATAGGCTACACCCATTGCTTAACAATGGGTTGAAAGCTTCAAAGGAGCTTTCTTTGTTTTTGTAGGTAACTTTGATCAGTAGGGTAAGGATGCTTTGATCTTTAGTTTATTCATAGCTATGTCACCTACTAGGAGTAATGTTTTGATAGGTCAAACACTTTTGCTACTTGTGCATATAGGCTTGCAAATATAGATAATTTTTCATTCCTGATGATGACATAATTAATGTCGAAATATTGAATCCCGACACGATGGCCTGCATTTCGATACTTGGAATATATATTATACTATTTTACGTGGTTGCAAAAGATTAATAAGTCCGTCACTGCAAGGTTTCAGATATCTGTGCTGCAGGAGAATCCAAGAAAATTGCTTTCTTGCTAAGACTAGACAATTTTGATTGTGTGTGTGTCCATTTTTCATGTCCAATGTTGTAATTTAAGAACCTTATAGCTGCATATTTTTTTGTTTTGTTTTTTTTTTTGGCCAAAAAATGATAATAAATTAAACAAATGAAGCATGATGTGGCAAAATGGCTGAGTTGTATCTGAAATTGAAATTCAAGTTATTGGTATTTCCAGATCCCTGATCTTTGTGATCTTTGAAATGAGGAGTCATTCAATTCAAGCCTAAGTTATTGGAAAGTGAAAGTACAGTACTCTTAGAATCAAGATAAACATGGTTTTGAGTAATTGCCTTTCAAAGTTATTTGTGCATCATTGTTTAATAGAATGAACTATCAAAATAACTTTAAATAAACAATTTGTTAACCACTTCCAGAACTAATACTTTGGGACATGATTAAAAGACATATAACTGTTGATCTATAGTGAAAAACAAATTTGGATTTTTAGGAAATTTTTTGAGCTCCCATATTTTATAGCTCATTTACTCAATACTGGACTGTGCAAGAACTTAACCATTTCGCCACGACCTGCCTCAAATAGTACATACAGTATTACAAATAAAAAATAAAATCTTTTAATAAATGTCAACAAAATATATGTATTGTTCTTTTTATTCTTTAGCCCTTCATGGAAAATTCTACGAAGCTGACTGTTATATTATCTTAAATGTAAGTTATGTTCTAAAGCCAATTATATTGAGTTTAACAAATTGGGGGATATGGTTTAGTGTAGCGGATTCTACACTCTGACCATTCTTAGCTGACCATGCTTAGGTATCCTATCTTGCATTTGTTGATGTTAATTCCGATTGGCTAAAATTCCCTTAATTCAGTTCATTCATACGATAACATCCAATCAGGAATTGATTTAATACTGTAACAATAGGCACTGCATATACAAATGTAGCCCCTTTCATAGAAAACTAAGATATTTAGATTATGCAGGTATGATTGTAGTAGAGTGATGGAAAATGTTGTTACCCCTAATTATACTTGTCATAAAAATTAATTTCAAGGTTGTTTCATGTGGGTGGGTTGAGCTTAGCAGGTCTGGGCAAACTAAATTTGTTGAGTATAGCTGCACATGCCCATCTAAAAATTCCTACCTCCCCCCCCCCCCCCCCACCCCCCACTATTTCAAATCCTGGAGTGACCACTGTAATTATCGGTATGTAGACATTAAAACCTCATATATATTTAATATTTCAAAAATATATTTATGTATAAAGATAATTCCAATTTGTTTTTTTGTTAGACTACACAAGATGAGAGTGAGAACCTTCACTGGCAGATTTACTACTGGATTGGAAGTGAGTCTACGGTAGGCATGCTTCATATCATTTGTTACTGTTACTAAGAAATGTAACATCAATTCATACTTTACCGGTGACAAAAAGTTCTTAATCAGCACCCTACCCAGGGGTAGCATCACACTTTTATTTGCATCACACTACTTGAAATTGGGGATAAGCTCCAGCAATGTAACTGACACAAACTTGGTCCTTAACCCACCTAACTTGCATAAGAAGGTTATTGAAGGAGCCAGTTGACCAGACCTCTTGTATGTAAAGTATGATGCTTTATTAATGATATTTACACGCTTTTCATTCCTCTTCACTAGCTGGACAAGAAGGCCAGCGCAGCTATACACGCTGTAAACCTGCGAAACCTGCTGGGAGCACGGACTAGAACAATTCGTGAGGAGATGGGCGAGGAGGGCGAAGAGTTTATGGAGTTGTTTGGTGACGTATCGTACATCGAAGGTGGAACGTTGAGTGGATTCTACACTGTTGATGATATCTCATTTACTGTCAGATTGTACAGGGCCTCCGGTACACAGAATATACACCTGGAACCGGTCAGTATTCTTAAGCTAGTAACTACTCACTGCGCACAACTAAAGTAAAATAATTTTGGAATGCAAATTTGCCCTTTCTGTTTTTATTAAGACTGAGGATGTGGCATTGTTTTTATTAAGAGCAGAATTGTGACAAAATCAGTCACAGAGCAGAGGTATGCACTCTATGTAGTGATGCTCTAAGAAATGTTTAACATTTGTGTCATATTTTATTATTAGTTTTATTATCACTATCATCAGTTATGTGTTGTCACCTTAGGTTCCAGTTGATAAATCTTCACTTGATCCGAGGTATACATACTTACTGGACAATAGACTGACCATCATGATATGGTATGGAGACCAGTCCAAATCTTTGACGAGGTCAAAAGCAAGGTATAATCTTTATTTGTATTTAATAAACAATGAAAAGGGATAAAAACCTCCACTAACAGTTTGGACATCAATCTGTTATATATATATATTTTTTCCTAAACAAAAGTTAAACTATCATAAAAAATATCACTGTTATCTGAACAACTGCAATTGCTATTTAAGCTGTTTTAGGTTATAATCAATCAGCACTGATATTGTGCTGATTTTTTTAAACAAGCAATTTGAGAAAGAGTTTCACCCAAAGTCTGTCTTGTTATGATTTTCTCATTTGCAAGACATATCTTTGAACTTTAAATTAATATTACAAGTGTAGTCTGCTAAGAGTATTTGGAGAAATGCTACCAACGTAAAGCGTTGTCCAGACTCAAATTTGACAAAAACATGTGACATGCCTAAATATGGTCATGAAGACATCACATAATTAACATATATAGGTACATTATGACTATATATGGACGTACAACAGTTTTTTGTGAAAGAAAGTTTGATAGTGTGGCAGAGACTAACATTATAGATTAATGGCAGAGAAGATAAACAAGATGGAGAGAAATAACAACGCTCAGATATTGATGATGACAGTGATTTATGATATGCCTAAATATGGTAATGATGACATCACATCATGACCATATATAGGCATATCATGACTATATATGGGCATCCAACAGTTTTTTGTCAAAGAAATTTCGATAGTGTGGACAGAGTTTAACATTATAGATTAATGGCAGAGAAGATAAACAAGATGGAGAGAAAGAACAACGCTCAGATATTGATGATGACAGTGATTTATGATATGCCTAAATATGGTAATGATGACATCACATCATGACCATATATAGGCATATCATGACTATATATGGGCATCCAACAGTTTTTTGTCGAAGAAATTTCGATAGTGTGGACAGAGTTTAACATTACAGATTAATGGCAGAGAAGATAAACAAGATGGAGAGAAAGAACAACGCTCAGATATTGATGATGACACAGGGAGCAGAAGTACAACAATTCTGGGAGCTCCTTGGTGGTTTTGATGTTGATTTCGTACCAACAGTAAGTTTTCATAACCATTACCAAATATAAGTCTCCCTCTAGTTAATCACCCCTCCAATTAACGACTACCTCCAAATAGAGACAACTTTTGTGTGCTCCCAAATTAACAATGTAGCTTATCTTTATTATTATTCTAATTAAGAGGCCAAAGTCGCTATAGATTTTAGAAACGCTGGTCCTAAAAGCGGACTTTATGGGAGGGAGAATTGTACTATACAATAATTTTATTTTTTATGTCCACAATGAATAAGGCAAGACTTCTTTTATTTCTTGTTTCACATTAATTATTTTTTAAAAGATTATCGGAGGAGGGCAGAATAAAAATTAAAATAAAATTTTGTTTTCTCATTTAGCCAAAATCATCCAGAGAGAGGAAAAAATTAAAATAAAATTTTATTGGTGCATGTAAAATAGGATGGATAAATGCTTCAAATTTATATAATTAGGAAGAAATATACATAATGGTAATGATTTTTAATAATAACGATCTTATCTTTGGAGATTTCAAGGTAGCAGAAGGCGTAATAAAAATAAAGAAAAACTTTTATTTTTTTCTGAAATATCCACTTTTTCGTGGCAGCGAGTGCGCTAATTGGCCAAAAATAAAATTTTATTTTTATTCGGAAATCATCAATATTTATATTTTGAAGTCAGTTGGTTCGTTAAACAAGATATAAATAAAGCTTCGCCCAAGAAAAGATAATAATAAAGAAAAGAATAGAATGATCAAACGTGCAGTATATTTTAAGGCAAGCTCTCAGAACACTATGAGTACTCCTTCATTATTTTCACTTTTTTAGAATTGTGTTGATGAAGAATTCACACCAGAGAAGCCAAAACTGTACCAAGTCGGACTTGGAATGGGGTACCTTGAACTTCCACAAGGTAATAGCAAATTTACAGATCAATTGATACTTTATGTAGTGATAACTAGTGGTGTGTCTAATATGGTAAGTTTGTAAAAGTTGAAGGATGTCACATATTCATTACTGAAAGCAAATAAATGAGGTGGCGTACTAAGTAACAATTTGTCGTTGTGGAATGATATGAATTATGCACCTCTACTGCTTTTACTGTAGTCACAGACCACACCCATACGCAATTCAGCACAATGACACTGCAAAGTATGGGTTATTCTCCTACGTTTATATTTCCATGCCACCCTTTTAATAATAATAGTTATAATAATAATGCTAAATATTTGTATAGCACCAAATCCAAATTGAGTTATCAACGGTGTTGAGCGTCATTACCTCTGGTCACTTGATAACATACAAAATGGCAAACCAACACAAAGTGCAACTCCGTTTACTACCCGGGGAGTATACGCGGTCATGCGCTTCTATCAGCACACGAAACTAGTACATTCGATGTAACAACATCATATCGGGTACCCATTTATACTCCTGGATAAAGAGAGACAAACCTCCCTAGTATATTTCAACAAGGTTCCCATTTATATTCCTGGCTGGAGAGAGACTAACGTGTGAAGACACAAACAAATTACACAGCGAAGGTTAAAACCCACTGTGCCAAACATTGTTGTATAATATGTATTATTTTAGTACAAAGGACTTGTATTTCTCATGTCTGATGCATTGAATTGTTTTCTTAATTGTTTAAGTTGAATTGCCAAGAAACAAGTTGAAACAGTCCTGTTTGGAAACCAAGAATGTATATATACTTGATTGTGGAGCTGATATATTTATCTGGTAAATCTTGTACATTTTTCATAATTAATTTGTTGCTGTTGCTCAAAATGGCTTTCCATATGTGATATTTTCCCACTAAACCCTGGCAATGTCGAAAGATAACAGTTTGGAGAAAATCTGAAATTTTCATTGTCAGATCAAAAATTCTTCTGCATACAAACCAAAGTTTGAAGCTGTTGTAATAACACCCTAAAACAAGTATAAACTTAAGAGTTACCATAAAGAGCAGTTTATAAAAAGAGGGCAACCACATGTAAAAGCAACTCAACCAAAGGTTTTAAATAAAAATCAGGGAGTGATCCTATAAGGCCATCATGTTTGCTTTTATTGGGTTTTCTTTAAACCAGGCTCCAGAAAGTTTATTTCTAAGGTACAAAAGGGTTTGTCTAACAAAAAACTTAGCAACCTTTAATGTGATAAAGATTAAATATTTAATACTGGGGGAAAAAACATAACCACCCGTTTTTCCACCAGTTTTTAAATATTAGCAATCCTGTATCTCATTAATTGTTCCAAGTCTTTCATCAAATACTATTTCTGTGACTTGAAAACATCTGATGTCCAAAAAAGGCGAAATAAATGAAATGAAATATCAAACTTGTTTTTCCTCTGGTACCCAGCTTTGAAGCTTTACTCCTAAAATGCATTTAAATTGATGAAAGCAAGTATTTTGCCCTGAACACATTTACATTCAGAAGCATAATTAGAAATTTGTTATTGGTCAGTTTATAAATTAAACTTGTAGGATTGGTCGGAAGTCAAGTCGTCTTGTAAGGGCTGCTGCCCTGAAGCTGGCGCAGGAGTTGTGCAGCATGATTTCTAGGTCTGTTGTTGCCATGGTTGTCCGTGTCCTTGAAGGGTAAGTGTTTGTTATTCTCCTGATTCTGCTCTCAACAAAACCTGTAAGCTGTATATTTACCATACAGGAAACGATTTCTTTATTATTAAACTGCCAATGATTGAATTGATTGGCACCGGTTGAATATATAGGCGATATATTCAACCGATGCCAATCAATTCAATCAAACTCTAGTCTTTCTATGTTGCCGTGAGCTTTAAATTTGGAATACAATATCTTTAAAAGCTATTTATCTATCTGTATGTACAGTATAACAATTAGTACCAGGGATGGTGCCAGCTTCCCCATGACTGGTGGTCAGGGTCCATGCCCATCTCAGCCCCTTCCCCATGTTTCATTTTTCCTTGAAAGATTTTACCATGGTTCCCTGGCGGTTTTACCAGGCCTTCCAGAAACCAGGGCCATGGCCAAGCCGGCCCACCTGCTGGCGGCACCCCTGATTGGTACCTAAATATTTCCAATGCTTTATGTACTGCAAATAAATGTTGTTTTTAAGTTTTCATGCACTTTAGATTACTTCAAAAGATAATTTCAGCGGTCAATTTGTACATTCTTAAATGAAAATTTGATTGGCTGTCCAATACCTAGGCCAGTATTAAAATGCAATAACTGTCCAATACCTAGGCCTGTATTAAAATGCAATAACTGTTTGCCTCCCAGATATGAGCCTTATGTCTTTAAGCAGTATTTTGAAGTTTGGGATGAAATCTTGGCGGTTGATTATACAAAAACCGCTGAAGCCATTTTCAAATCTATGGCATATAACATGTGGTAAGGCAGAGATATAGCACCCACGTGGGCCATTTATGCATGTGTGTGTGTGTGTGCGCTCAACTCTAATGCCTCACTCTTTAAACATGTGTTGAATTTGCATGGAACTTAATCAAAAACTTTATTAAAGTCAGACTCCGGAGGAAAAAAAATTTTTGATATGTTGTAGAACTGATTTTTCTAAGACAGAAAAAAGTTGTTTGACGAAAAACTCGTCAAACAACTTTTTCTGTCTTGGAAAAATCAGTTCTACAACATGTCAAACAATTTTTTTCCTCTAGAGTCTGACTTTAACTTAATATTAGTATGGTAGAGAAGCTTGAGTTCATTCTAGAATTAAATTAGGATCATTTCTATTTTATTTGTTTATATCCCAATTATAGCAAAACATATTTTTTAAACTTAATTTCAAATAAATGTAGGCATGCATACTTTCATAATATGGTTTTAGTGAAATAAGTATATTTGCTATTTAAAATAGAAAGGCATCATTTAATTAAAACATTCAACAACAATTACAATAATTTTAACAATAATAATAACAATAATTTTATTATAATTTAAATTGATTGTAGAGGCCTTGTTTGCATGATGCACTAATTAGATGCTGGCAATTGTGGAATATATTTGTTTCAATTATTATAGTTTTGTTAAGATTATAATACCAAATAATGTTTAATAGGTATAATGTAAAATAATAATTTGTAATTAATTAAATACCTTGTACAGTAGAACTGCTCATTTGGGACACTCCTATGAAGGGGACACTCTCTTGGCTGAAAAATTAGAAAAAGAAAACCCATTTTTGAACACTAAAGCAAACCGCTCATAGGGTTGAGGGGAGGGGGTGGGAAGGAAAGGGAGAGGCAAATTTGGTACTGATTGTGTCACCTTTTTTTGTATTTTTAATTTCCATGTGTTCAGAGACACTTAAATGCCAAGTAGTAATTTATAAATAATGAATATATTGGTGACATTCTTGAAAGCTAAAGTAGAGTTTTATATCAACCAGCTTTTATTTCATAAAATGTATGTTTTACTGATAAGTATGAAATACCTAAAACTTTGTATAACATCTCAGTTTGCTTAACAGAAGATTTAACTATACCTCTTTCATGTGACAGAAAAAGTTAAAAAATATTAACAAATATATCTGTTCTGATATTTCCCTTCTGAGATACGTTGCTTTCACACAGCTAAATGCAAGCCTTGCTAAAACAACGCTTGTGCTTGTTGGACACGCACGCATTCCTGGCAATGTTCTGATTGGTCAATTGTTAAGTTTGAATTACACTCCTGAAAGGTCAATAGTAATTAAACACTAGCCAGCTTTAGCAATGATGCATTTTACAAACATTTTTGAATTTAATTAAATTTTGCCAAATTGCTGCTCAAAATCTTATTTTATACTGCAAAAGAGTAAAAAATAAATATTGTTAACCTTTCTCTTTTTTTGTTGGCTGTGATTTCTAATAATAGTTTTAACTCTATGTGCTCCCATATTGAAGTATAACAAGTTTATTCAGGTCCACCATGATAATAATTTAAATATTTCAATTGTTTTTGTATTGTTTTGGTTTTGCTCTAAAACATTACTCAGCGTTTCTTCAGAATGCCTGTGTTGTTTATAATTGAATGCAGATGTTTTTATTGAATTAGCAAATGTCTTTTAATGTTCAAAAGATTTTTAATTAACTTAATAAAATAAATTTTTTACTCTGGCTTGTAATTCATCATTATCTATTATACTTTGACTAAGCAACAGACACTTTCATCAATATGAATGAAATGATCTGCCATAATAATGATAATAAGACAATAATAAAATTAATGAGTTGTATACTAATCATGAATGATTTTCTAAAGAATACAGTAAAAGATCCATTTTAATTTACCCGACGGTCGTCCACAGCGCGATTTTGTGGAGAAAGCAACACCATGACATATGCGCATTGGATCGCTTTGAATTTGCGATCCATTCATACTGCCACCAGCAATTAGCAGATGACGCTGCGTCGTTTTGTGCTCACAGTTTAATTGGAATTCGTCGGCCAACGGTCGTACAGCAGTTGAAAGACAGTTGAACAATGTAGCGAGTGCCTGGCTTTAGAACTAAGAGTGGAAAAAGTAGTAAATCATGGAATCATGGAGTGACTGTAACTGTAAAAAAAAAATGACTTTGATTTAACCCATGCATCAAAATTCAATTCTTATCATCTTTCACAGAATTTCAGTTATTAACTCTTAATATCTTAACCATTAGGCCTAATTAAGTATTTGTCATCTCATAATACAGTAAAGTAGTAGTGTTTCTAATACTCTGTTTGACTTTGAAACGCCTTTTTTTAAATTCTAGTACTGAGAGCCAGATTTTCAGGTCAAAGTTCCAAGGTTGGGATAACGTCCTCGGAGTTGACTACACCAAGAAAACAGACGGCGCGACAAATACTCGCCAAGTTCGTAAGGTGACCACGGTAGCTTTTTAATTATGAATTGTTATTATGTGTATGAATAAAACAATGGTTTTATGTATTATTGTTTATTAAATAACTTTATAAGAGTGGTCTTTTGCCCTACCTGACGTTAAAAATCACCAAAACCAAATAATTGCGAAAAAATGATTCGGTTGGCAATTCAACCAACAACCTCCAGATAACAAGCCTGGCATCATAACCATTAGACCACAAAGTTTATGCTTAGTAGCTAGTGTTGAATCTGATCCCCAAGTAGCAGCGAGTGTACTGCAATGCTATTTTAATGTTGTTTGCGCCATTAAATTCCCTAGGAGCAATGTATGCCCTCCTAAGAACCTTAACTGACACTTAATATATTTAAGGATTGCAAGCACATTCTTGTTTACTCTCACAATATAATAGATTACTGTTTCTCGAAGTGGTGTTGTCTGACTCCAGGCTGTGTAGTTATCTATCACAAATTTTTAGCATTATGCTTGTTATTGTTTATATGTATTTTTTTGATATTATTGTCATTTTTTATATATTATTTATTAAAGTGTGTTAAAGTAATATAAAAAGTTATTGTTGATTTTTTTTTAAGGATGACAACAAGGATGAGTTTAAGACAGATCTATCAGCTTTGTTCATGAACCGTCAGCCACCAATGACAAACTCTGAATGTGTAAGTCAAAATGAATATTCATGAACCATCAACCACCAATTACAAACTCTGAATGTATAAGTCAAAAATGAATATTTATGAACCGTCAACCACCAATGACAAACTCTGAATGTGTAAGTCAAAAATGAATATTCATGAACTGTCAACTACCAATGACAAACTCTGAATGTGTAAGTCAAAAATGAATATTCATGAACCATCAACCACCAATGACAAACACTTAATGTGCAAGTCAAAATAAATATTTATAAAACCAATCAAACATCAATGACAAACTCTAAATGTGTAAGTCAAAATGAATATTAATGAACCATCAACCACCAATGACAATTGGTGCAAGTAAACTGAACTGTCATGGTATTAGTACCATACATTGACTATTATTCCTTATTCATTAACTTACATCAAGGCCCATTGGTTAGTTTTATGACTTTGCTATAGTAATAATGAATGTTTATGAGTGCAATGGTAGTGAATATTCCATGAGGTGAACAGTGGCATAACTAGCCTCTGAGGGGTCCTGGTTTCGAGAGTACAGTCACATATAAATTGGCTGAAAAGGCTGAGCTGTATACAGTTAACAAATATTGATAACATAATATTGATATAGTGACTGTATTTTATTTTTTTTTTAGGATCAATTAGCCGAAGAGTGGAATGCCGACCTGGACGTCATGGAGTCGTTTGTTCTTGAGAATAAGAAGTTTGTGCGTCTGCCTGAGAATGAGTTAGGTAAGACTCCCTACAACCTTCACTGTCACCTACAGATGTACATCAATCTCATGTTAAACACATGTGACATGCTTAAATATGGCCATGATGACATCACATCATGACCATATATAGGCACATCATTCTCCTGTGAAACACTATGCACATTAAGACCAACTCAGCATTGTGCAATGTAGTACGACTCAATTTTTTGCAAGTTAAATTAAGATGAAAGTAGCATCATAGAATATTGAACATATTTAATATTAAACATGTTTAATATTCTCGGGATTCTTAAGATATGGTATGCATGGGACTACAGTAAGGCGTCCATTTTACGTACTATTTGGTACCAAGTGGTATTCGTAAATTGAAAAATTTGTGAACTAGTTGGGGTGTCAGTTTCCAATTCCTAAGCCCAGCTATCTCCTGTCATTGAGCGATAATAGGTTTACGGTGGCCAGGCAGTGCAGGAGTGTGGCCTACTTCGCTACAGCCTAGCTGATTTTACCTTTGATAAAAACCAAATTATTTTTGATTGCTGGCATTCTTCACTTAACAAAATATTATTTTAACTCTTATTCAAACATCTTTTAGTACACCATGTTCCACTATCTATGTGGTGTACCTCGGGCAATAATATATTATAACTTCATCATGCAAACCTGCAAACAATATTTTATAAATTAATAATAATAAATGGATATAAACTACATTGTAAACCCAAGATTTCCTCAATTGTTACAGGACACTTTTACAGCGGAGACTGTTATGTCTTTCTTTGCCGATATTGGGTGCCTAAAGAAGTCAAAGAGAAATTAGAAAATGAAGATGTTGAAGATGATGGAGAGAAAACAGACGAAGATAACGAAGAAGAGGAGTCGCAAGAAGATGAGATAGCCTACACGGTGTATTTCTGGCAAGGGAGAGATGCCAGTAACATGGGATGGTTGACGTTCACTTTCAGCTTACAAAAGAAATTTGAATCTCTGTTTGGAGAGAAACTGGAGGTCGTTAAACTCTGTCAGGTAATGCTGTCACCTTGTCAATTAAGCTTTGTCCGAACTATCAAACTTGATGTAAGAAATAAATGTGATATGCCCATATTTGGGTGTACTGTAACATGACAAATATATATGTATATATTTTTATATTGCATTATTATACACATAATTATTATTATTATAATTATTATTATTCTGACGTTACTAAAACCTACCAAAATTAGACAATTGAGAAATTAGAGAACAATTAAAAACAACGTGAAGGGGAAAATAACATGATGTTAAAAGGAAAATAACACAAAAGATATTCCCCTTAAGTCGGACTTAGCGCATATTATTATTATTATTATTATTATTATTATTGTTATTGTTATTGTTATTATTATTATTATTATTATTGTTATTATTGTTACATTATTATTATTATGTAAATATTATTATTAATATTATTATTACATTGTTATTATTATTTATATTTAATCTTGCAAAGGAAGATTTTGTTGTGGAAATGGAATTTTAGGAAACTGTCAGTATAAAAGCAGATACATTAAAAGAAACTCAGCTACTACTAATCTCTATTATTAGAGTACCAAACTCTCTCCTTCGTTTCCAGTGATCATATTTGGCATTTTTATCTTATATTTGCTTTAGTAGGCCATTGCAATTTTATCCGATTATATTTTGGACACATTCATTTTACTTGATTTTGCCATGTAACTCAATCAAACAATACGTTTAAAAATAAACTGTAGGTTTATTTTCCTATATTAGTCTTTCTTTATTAAGTTTAAATATTGAATATTTGTTTATAATTTCAGCAACAAGAAAATCTCAAATTCTTGTCGCATTTTAAGAACAAATTTATCATCCATCGCGGCAAGAGGAAAGCAGAGCCAGTGAAGGGGGAGGAGCTGAACCCCAAGTTCTACCATGTACGCGCCAATGGGGGCTCGTTATTCACACGTTGTGTGCAGGTTCATCCTACAACAAAATGGCTTAATTCAGAATTCTGGTGAGTATGAACCCCACCCCACCCCATCCTACACATGGACACAGTTGAACCTCTCCACTAAGCCCCGCCCCTTGGATATTGTTGCTAAGGTCCCACAAAATAAAAGCGTGACTATACGTAAACACATGCGTTGTGGGACGACACATGTTTGTTGGATGTGTGCGTATTCCTTGCACTCTTCTGGTTGGTCAGATGTTAAGTTTGATTAACATTCTGGAAATATCCATTAAGCTTAGGCCTGTAGCGAAAAAGAAAGTGCTGACCGACAGACCTTAATCTGACCAGATTTGGACTTCCAAATTTAACTGCTTCGGCAACGCAACAACCTGTTTCAGGCCATATAATATATTGAGTTGTGGATTGTAATTGTTTTTGTGTATGTTCACACACACTATCTAACGGCTAACAGGATCCAGATTAATAACGGTTGTGTTCATACAAGAAAATCCCCAATCCAGATATCATCCCAAAACCTGACAACACTTGAAAATTGTCAATGAGTACGTCTGATTGGTTAATGATAGAAATGAGCTCAACTTGCTAACCGTTAGCGTATCCACTTTCCGGAAACAGCGCTAACAGATCAGGCGTTTTCACATGCGACGACACTACAAAGATTAAGATTTTGTAGGTTTCTGTCTACAAATCTTACTGTAACAAATACTGTATTTATTCTAAGTTATTCAATATCTATCTTTAAAATTTTTAAAATTTTGATATCATGATAGCAAAACGTTTTTGGTTTTTTTCTTTATTTTTGTTGGAAATTGAAGAATTTGTCAATTGGTGGTGTTAGTGACGAATTATGGGATTATGACTTGCGCAATCCTAGTACAGTAACTGGATTCTTGATACATGTATTTGTTGTATCAGGAACAAGATGTTTTTATAGGATAGATTCTGTCTCTTATACACATCTAGATGTGTATAAGAGACAGGGCAAATACAATTTCATAGTTTGGACAGGTCTTTAGAAATTGAGATACACTCATGAATGTGTAAAAGGGATGTAAAGTGATACAGACACTTTTTTTTCATTTTTTGAAATATATTATCTTTGTATTATTGTTGTAGGTTTACATACAGCATCTTCGCATTAAGCAACCGGATCAGCCACGCAAGCTGGCGATTGTGAAGAAGGGGCGCGAGCCATGGAAGTTTATCCGCTGTTTCCATGGATGGGGGTTGTTCAAAACACACGCTGGCCAACTTTAAGATCAGAGAGTGGTAGTGAAGCTTGAATGGGGGCTGCAATTTTCCTGACAAAAACTATATAATTTAATCTTTATATAATATAATAGCAGTAGCCTGGCAAGGAATCACATGACCGTCTGCCATGTCAGAGTAGTTCAAAAGTCAATAAGTGAAGAGGGTAAGCGTCTTATGGTTTGCAAATGGTCCTGTGTTTTTATAGGGGGATAGCTAAGTTACAAATATCAGAATCTTAGTAAATAACACAAATTTAAAAAAAATAAGCTATGTAAATTGGTGTATCTAAAAGTATTGATGTGTGTGTGAAGTTAAATGGGGATTTGATGATTATGTGGGGCTGCTAGCTTGAAAGAAAACGCAATACAAAGTGATTATAAACTACTTGAGCATGTTTTTTGTTTAACCATTTCCAGTGGGAGATGACTGTGGGTACAAGCTTTTTTAGAAGTGGTGCACACTCACCCCACAGATAAAAAAAAATAGCTTCTCAGCTATGCATACTGTCAACGACACTACAAAGATTAAGATTTTGTAGGTTTTTTTCTACAAATCTTACTGTAACAAATACTGTAGTTATTCAATATCTATCTTTAAAATATTTTGATATGACAGCAAAAGTTTTTGGGTTTTTTTCTTTATTTTGTTGGAAATTGAAGAATTTGTCAATTGGTGGTGTTAGTGACGAATTATGGGATTATGACTTGCGCAATCCTAGTACAGTAACTGGATTCTTGATACATGTATTTGTTGTATCAGGAACAAGATGTTTTTATAGGATAGATTAGACTAAACATTTATACAAATTAATATTGAATAACATAATTTATTTTATATGCTTATATAGTGTCCAGTTGTTTTGGTCAGAGTGCATTCTGTGCATTATCATATTGAGGCAAAACTACATAAATCACATTTTTTTCAATTTTTAGGTATCATCTGTAATTCCCTTTAATTACCTGTGAAAATCTCAGATAGCAACACTATCTTTAAACATGAAAGTGAAAATTTAAATTTGTGTCATCTTGCTTAGGAACAGCTGTGTAGTTTGTGTCCAGGTGGACGGCCTGTGTTCTGGTAGCTATTTCCATGTTTAATGTTGTAGCTTTAATACCGTAATGTATGGCCTAAATACTTACTGTTTTCACTGTATATATTTCACCTAATTTAATTTCTGGTAAAAAATTTTTTTGTATGTGCAATGCCACATACCGTTTATACTCGCGTATAAGACAAGGCTTAAATGGCGTGTTATACGCTCGACATGAAAATCCGTAACACGCAAATTTACTACTGCAATAAAGCTACTAAAATGTTAGTAGGCCTATGAATTAACGCAATTTTAAATACAGGAAAATAAGATTTATTGAACAAGTTTCATGAAATGGTATACAGTATTTGAAAAAAAATTAGCCCTACATTTGGCTCTGTTTGTAGCCAGCTAGGTCCAGTATCAAGACCATAAAGTCAACCAAAAATCTTGTCAAACTTGAGGGTCATCCTATATGCGGGTCGCATTATACGGGAGTATATACGGTATATTTAAAATAGTAGTTCTTCCAATAGCCATAGTGCAACAAGTTTAAATACCGCGATTAGTCATGTCAGCTCCAACAACTCATATTTGTGTGAAATTGCTGGAACAATAACCATGGCCTATATTTAACACTTAATAAATTGTTAAAAAAAAAGATTGTCTTGTTGAAAGATTTAATTGTTAAGAAGATTGTCTTGTTGAATGATTTAATTGTTAAGAAGCGTATACTGCTTTCTTTAACGTGCACATTGAACCAATGACACTCAAACAAATGTCTCATCCGAAAGACAGTGCACTATCTAACCTGCATTTCAGTTTTATAGCTAAAACACTAGGAGATCAGTGATGTGAATAGAATCGGGGACCTATAGATATTCACGGTTCAGCATGCACACAATGGCTACCACCAGTTTAGCCGATTGAGCTAAGCTGCTCATAATTTAGATTCAGCGAAATAATTCAAGAGTTTCGATTTATATTTTCCATCTTCGTAAATATAAAGAAATGCTCAGAGCTAAAGCATTTCCAAACACAGTAGTCACACACACAACCTTTAAAAAACCGGTTTCAAATTATAGCATTTGACAGTATTGTGTTTCTGTCAGGCTATGTTTTTATGATGGTCAGGGTATTGGTTCTCCAATTTCCACGACAACTGAGCAAAGCAATACACAAATTCCAAATTTAACTTTTGAAATATATTTTAATAAAAAATAAAAACGAATAACATTATTTATCGGGTGCTTTCCATACATGCAGAACATGATCGTAAAAAGAACAGGAAGCAATGACCTGATTTGACCCTTCCCAACATGCCTTGCTCTCTCGGAGCTCCACACCACTCAACTTCATTTCAAGATCATCAATTTCAGAGATCGGTTTCTCCAGGTTTTCAGGTTTTGTAGTTATTGTGTCCTTGTTCGTTAGTAAACTTGAATCGTGTCTGTAGTTCGAGATGTTTGATTTATGACACCAATCTACACCATACGCTAATGATTCATGTCTGTCATACGATGAAATAACTCGCTGAGGTTCACCATCTGTAACAAATAAACATTCATATCAAAAATACTGTCATCCACTTATTTACATCACTGTCATTATTACAGGACAGTATAACCATTATCCTAAAGAAAATCCATACCAAGATGTTTAGGAACACTCACTTATTGATGAACAATCCAGAATAAAAAAGCCATTATGCATGCAAGCTGCAAGCAGGAACTGTCCATTGGACGGGTGCCACTTTAACCTCCACACTCCACCTCCAACACTCGTCTTTGATAGAGGACTCTTCATCTGCCTGGTATCCCATAGTAATATGTTTTCATCATAGCTACAGAAGATACAAAACAAGAACAAACAAAATAAGCAACGGCATGTGATCAGGACTGTCAATCAAACTCAACAACTGACCAATCGGAAAGGGACAGGAATATGTTTTTACACTGTCGTTTGGTGAACCTTAGCAAGGGGTGGGCTTCCCTTGCATTTTCCTTACCTGCCGGTTGCTATAATATTTTCACGCCATCTGTTACTATGGATACTGCATACACCCATGGAATGACTTTTACTAACAAACGTTGGAGCGTGACATGGCTTCCGAATATCCCAGCCTTTGAGTCGACAGTCATCACCACCTGAAGGATCAAAGAAATAACTATTTTCCTTGGAAACAACTGTTTTTTTTCTAATATGGAATTTAAAGCGGATCAAGGCAAGAGAATATAACTTTGCAGTGTAATGGAAAAGAAAAAAAATATTACAGGGTTTTGGTAAAGTCTTTAGTCGAAAATCATTAGAATTTTTTGTAATTTCGTTTGGAAGCTTGTTTTATGTACAGTATAAACATTCTCTCTTGCCTTGTACAAGCTTCCATTTCTGCTCCATCAGTCTGTTGTTGATTTAATTCTAGTACACTGAGAGTGTCTGTTTTCATTTCAAAAGTAAATTTGTTGCACAGGAAAGATGAGCTGGATACTCGCTCTGTCATGATACGCAAGCAATGGATAATTTTTAATGACAATCCATTCAGACTGCCACCGCATTCACAGGGTCTAGAGTTGGATCCATCGGCTGACGGTCGTAGTGCAGTGAGTGCCCCCCTTTAAAGGTAAATATTCGAAGCACATTTGTGAAATACCCAACCCGTTGAAATAGTGTATGTGTTCATTTGCTTGCTTTTGAAATTCTTCCATAGATTTTAATGTTAGGTTAGGTTGTATTTTCTTGTGTAGTCGTGCATTCGTGTTTTTATATTACTTTATTGTTTAAACAGTTTTACTACTGCACTTACTGGTCTTCATTTTACAAGCTCACTAGAGCTTCATGAATATCCTTTTCATCATTTATCCTATACTGTATTTAACATTTAAATCAATTTTATTTGATGATGAATAAAACTGAATTGAATTGACTACATTACCTGAGTATATCACATTTGGTTGCCAGTAATCAAAGGCCGATATCCAGGCTTCAAATTCATGAGCTGTCCACTGACTGATCTGTGACAATGACCTTTCATTAGACACTTGGAATGTACTCACCATTCCTTTAGAATCGCTGGTTACGATGCTAGGTTCTGAACTTAAAGATTAATTTGAATAATCACTGTTAAGCTCTCATGTGTAACAGATCAATACATCGCAATACACTCCCACCATCCTCTAGTCTCTTTTTACTTACTTATGGTATTTGGCATTAGACCAGTCTAAAGACAGGCCTAATCTGTCATCTCCAATTACACTTGAATTTGTATTATGAAGAATCTAAAGGATAAAAAAGAAAAAAAGTGTCATTGTATGTTTAATAGATAAAATACAAAGGTTTTAAATTTTTAGTGATTTGGGGGAGAATTCCCAAAAATCATAAAATTCCTCGTCTTAATATTAACATAGAGGTTTTTAGTAGAATAGGGATATACTCAAAATAAGAGATGGCCTAGCAGATATAGAAAAAAAATCAGATATAGAATGGTTGAATTTAACGCATTGGTAGCGCTTGGTGAGGTTAATTTTGAAGAGATATGTGATGGCCACAGATTCTTTAATTAAATATGATGAAACAAGACCGTATTAGCCCAGGGCTTCAGTGTGCTACACTGGAAATACTAAAGTGAAGCAGGGGTCCAAAGTCTCCCGCAAAAATCTCCCGAAATTCATAATATTTGCATGTTTTTACTATTGTGCTTCATTATCAATTGTCTCAGGGAAGGTGGCACCAATGACTGAGTATCACCATACACGGCATAATAATATTAAATATCTCCCAGAAGGGATTTCTTTGAACTTTGAACCCCTGGTGAAGTTTCCAAGTAAACAAAAATGTTTACCTTATCATTGAGCTGAAGTAATTGAAGTTCACCATCAGCATTAACAAGCGCTAGGACAGGATGCTCCAAAGACTCTGGATTCCTGAATAATAATTAAAAAAAAGGTTGATAGGTCCATAAAGTGGATCAAATATAAATTAGTTAAGATGTACTACAGTATCTGTCAAGAAGGCAGTTGAATACCTAAAAAATATAATTAAATCTTGAATGAGTACTCATTTAAATGATCTAATAAATTATCAGCTTCAAACAAGAATGTAGTTTTCACAAATTTACAGACGTTTTACATCCTTATAATCCTTAGAATTGATTACCAGCCAATTAAGGATCTATGCAAAAAATACAGGAAAGTTATTATGTAACTGTCAGAAAATTGACAGGGAAATATTTTTCTCATTCAAATATACAAATTAACCAATTCAAGTGTGGATTTGAATTTTTAAACTGCCCTCATGAGGCTGATTGATTAATAGTTTATCAATAGATCTGTTTTCTCCACTATTAATTATTGATTATAGACCTTTTTTAGCTCTACTGCCCTCATCGGAGCTTTCGATAACTTGTTTACCTCACGAAAAAGCTGGATTCACATCAGATCCGAATCAAAATTCAAACCATGTTTTTGACACACTGAATGAAGCGTCCCCATTCATACATACTGTTTCAATTTTCTAATCAAGTTCTGAAAGACTTTCCATTCAAAAATTTGGAACTTGTGTGAAGGCACCTTGACTAACCATTTCATATCCAAGATGGCTGCTGTGTCTTGTCTATCAGTAAGTTGTAATGTCTCCTCAAGGCAGTGAAATAACAACAACCTTCCAAGTCTCTTTTTAGGAATATTGCAACTAGCATCCTAGGATTAGAAAAGGAAGTACAGTATTTGATTGTGATGTAAAACTCATAAAATATACTTTGTTTTATATCTTGTTGAACCATGTTAAGCAGAATACTTACGAAACAAAAAAAGAAAATCAAATCAGCAGTAAAGAATAGAGCTGCGTAGCCTACTAGACAGGCATCGAAAAAGTTCTACGAATTTTGGTTTGGATCGGATGTGAATGCAGCTTTAATCATGACTCAGCAGTAGCGACAGGCTAAAGTATGATTTATACCAAAAATGTAATTTTTATTATTACATTGGTGCAAGAGATGTGGATGTCTTCAGCGCTACAAAGCCACAATGGCCTTGTATACTGGATCATGATCAAGGTGTCTGGACTAAGAACCATGAAATTTTCCAGGCTACCTTTATGGTACATAAAACAGCTAAAGCTTCCAGGGGACCCCAGCCCCTTCCAAATCCCCCCACCCCCCACAGGCCAGGGTCCTCTGTGGCACTTAGCACTAAATTCTCCGTTTTTTTAATGTCAAAATGTTGGCAGGTATGGGCTAAGTCATGAGATAAAACAAGAAAAAAGAAATAAAAACAGTAAATAAGATACACACATCCTCCTCCTGGAATCCTTCTTCATCAGCCAGCTGGTAGGTGCCAACAGCAAGAACATTGCAATATCCAGGGGCTGGACAGAATTCAGCTGAGTCAGCACTGTACTCAGTGTCGAACACGTGCAGCGTTGTAGGAGTACGCCTAGGTTCTTTGGCAGCCATCTGGAAAACCACAACAATTAATAATTCCTTAGCAAAATAAATTAATTTAAAATAGAATCAGTGTCTTGTAGTTTTAAGAAATAGCCCTAAAGCCATTGGCACTTCACTGCACAAAACAAAACTCTTTAAATTCTAGCCTATAAATGTAGACCTCTAGGCGAAGACGCACTGAGGCCTAGCTAGAGTAGAACAGTGCTAGCCCAGGCCCTCAGGGTACCTACCGAAGTAAACAAGTAAGGATGGGCCTAGCCCTAGCCCACATTCATACTACGCTGCGGTGCTAGGTCTAAAACGGTTCAAACACATGGAAATGGTGCTAATTCACCCTTTTGTCTTCCGGACGTACTCTCTAGGCCTTCCCTACTGTAGGACCGCGATGCTCCTGCTGCAGACAGGCAAGTTTTGCGAGAGATAAAACATGCCTGATAAACTGTATATTATTTTGATCACAACGTTGGTACAGTAGGGTTGCCAGATAGTCGACAGGCTTCACGGTCACGGCCAAACACACGCCATCTCACGACCAAATTCGGCCAAACTTTCCTTCGATATCGGTCAAAATACGGCCAGATTTTAATTCGATTAGAAGACAACATTGGGTACATATTCATTTAAAATTCAAAAATTACACGAAAATCAACAGTCATTTGTTTGAAATTGATGAAATTAAAATGATATACACAGAACAATGTTAATCTTTCACTGTTATTGTTTTTATAATTATTTACCATAATTAAATGCCCAGCTACATCATAATATCAAATTTATGTTCTATAATTAGTTGCTAGCATGTAGACCTATTTAAAGTCACATTATTAAGACCGATCTAAATGTGATTTAAATGTATTAAATTACGTACATTGTAGTAGATATATAACAATAATAAGGGCCTGTTATTGAATCTTCAATGACAAATCCGTGGCACTCTTTAATTAGGATGAAAATTGCATTTGTAGTTAGTAAGAACACAAACCGGTGTCAATCAAGACCAGGGATCGCGCCAGCCGGGGGTGCGGAGGGGGTTGGTAGGCGGGGGCCAGGGTTCCCCGTCGGGGAGAGCTGCCCCTACCCCCAGTCGGGGAGAAAAAGCACAATTCTTAGGGGAGAAGAAAAAAATTATATGTATTTTGCACATTATTAGACTCTGCAATTGATTTATTTTATTAATTTTTATTAGTTCCGATAAATCTCCATACTGATGTTTTTATTAACTGTTTTTATGTAACTTACCGTACTCGCGGGCGCTTAAAATATTTTTTGCACTTACTGAGGGGCGCTTATTCAAACGAGGAGCTTATTTAAATAGGCGCTTATGAAAAAAAAAGTGGAAATTGAGGGGGCGCTTGTGGAAATAGATGAAAATCGAGGAGTTCTTATGGGAAATTTTAAATTCAAGAGATGCACTTTTTGATTGAAAAAAGATTATATAAGGACATTACGAATGGTGGTTAGCCGGAAAAGATAATCGTCCAGAGAACATAGTTCATGACAAAAGGGTGTGAATATTTACATAACAGCAGAATAGCAGATGCAATTAGTGGTGGTGGGTAGTGGTTAGCTTGTTGGCCATCGGCCGATTGAGATTAGCAGGATGGCAGGATTATTTTATTTTTTCTTGAAATCTCAGAGCAGAATGTGCTAAAGGTCGGAAAAAGAAAAAGAGGAGTAGGACTAGTCATGGACAAATATGTAAAAAGAGTAAAGTTGGAAATATACTGTCTGTCCAGGGATCGGAGCTCTCATCTGTCCAAGAGAAATATCCTCATTTTGATATAGACCTAGTTAAGAAGAATGTGATTCCACTCTGCAGCTCAAATCATGCCAACAACCACAGTCCCACGATTGATTGGATTATTGACTTGCTAAAAAGAAAATCTTATGATTTATGAGGGGGCGCTTATTCAAACGGGGCGCTTAAGGAAATTTTCACGTTAGGAGGGGCGGTTATTCGAAAAAGGCGCTTATTCAAACGGGGCGCTTATTTGCGCGAGTACGGTATGTGTATTTTACAACTTTTAAGCCTTTTATCTTTGATTTTTTAACCCTTTTATCTACGATTTTTAAAACTTATTTCTTTATGAAATTTTACATATTTAAAAAAAAAATCTTTTGAATTACTGTTGTAAATGGTTTTGTAAGTGGTTTTATTTGTTTTTTCTTGTATATGTTGATATTGACCAAATAAACGAATGAATGAATTAAATAAGCCTTGGAAACCCGCTTTGAAACGCATAAATTGTCAAAATTTCGGTGGGGGGGCTTCGCCCCCTGGACTACTTTCGCAACATTTTAAGCGACGCTCTACCACGCCCAATTTACTCTCATCGGGGAAATCTTCCTCCTCGTCGGGGACATCTGGCCGTCTAAAGGTGGTGTTTATAAAACGAACACTGAAGACCCAAAAATGAAGACCCCTATTTTTTCCTTTTATTGCGATGATAATACGCCAGGCTGTCAAAAATCAAAATTAAGAAATTTTTTGGGCGTCTAGTCTGTTTGTGAAAATTCCAAGGGTAATCGTTTTATAGACACCCTATATGGGTGTCTACAAAACGAAAACCGAAGACCCACAAAACAAAGACCTCCGATTATTTCTCAATTAGCCTATCGCGTATTGAAAGTATTTCAAAATCATCATAAAACAGTTGCCAAGCACCTATTTCATTATTTCATGGGAATAAAATGAGGTATATCAAGAAACACGAAATTTTTTTTTTGTGGGGGTGGGGGACCTCGAGTAATTTTCGGGGGGAGGGAGTAGATTCGCCACTGATGTAAGTACAGATTCATGCTTATATTTTACACATTTTTATAGCTTATGGGGATATAAATTTAATAATTAGACAAAGACCCTGCAAGTCTACCTTCATGCACTTAAATTAGTATAGAAAACTAGGCCTAGCCTAGATTAGATAGTGATTATTCACCGGACGTGCCGTCTTGATCCAAAATAATGACGTCGGTACGATGTTTCTTTTTAAATAA